TTTTGCAAACCCCTGTGTGTTCACCAGCTGATTGGCTCCTTTTCTACCCTATCCCTTTGCTTCCTAAGGTGGAGACTACTCTGAGATTCCTTTGTGCGTGTGTGCACCTCTCTCTTCTATCTATCCACCCATTCATCTCTTATCTATCTGTTTATCTGTCTCATCTAACTAATCTCTCCCATGTCTCTAATGTATTTAGCTAGCTATTTGTCTAAAACCATATAAGTTAATCCTAAACAATGCATTGTTTAGAGTTGCTTGGTTTTAAGCCTTATAAAAAATTGCATAATGTGTGTATTTTTCTATTAATTCCTTTCCTCACTCAACATTTTGTTTGTAAGATTTCTCCACATTGTTTTGTTTAGCTACAGTTCATTCATTTCCACTGCTGTGCAAATTCCATCGTGTGAGTATGCCATTGCATGCTGATTTTTGTATCCTTCAGCTTTGGATCTAGAAAGAACGAGAGGGTCTGCAGATGAGGAGATTGTTGAAGATGGGGCGGAGGAGGCAGAGGTGTGGCCACCAAAGTGCATCCATCCCACAGTCTGGCGTGACCCTGTCTTGGTGATGATCATGGCAGCAGGACCTGCATCAGATCCACCAGTCCTGGGTGTTTAAAACTTAACTGCTTGAGGGTTTAAAACATGGCTAACTCCCAGGACTGGTGAGAATAAGGACTTGTCCCACCGTAACTGAAAGGCACAATGATGGGGATGGGCTCTCCTCTAGCAAGAGGCCTGTGGGCCCCGAGGAAATTCTTGACCCAGTGGCTCCACTTCAAAGACATACACAAAGACTTATCTATAAGTACTCAAGTAGTGTTTGCTACTTACCTTAGTAAAAACTTAGAAATGCCCTAAATTTTCATCAGCAAATTGATGGCCAAGCTTAATGTGGTGATCTGTGTATGGAATAAGATGGGTGACATTAAAATCACATTGTGAAAGAATAATCACATGGGACATGCTAATGAAGTGGCTGAGTTGAACAATTAAGGGACAAAGCAATTGGTATTGATAAATATGAATGTGTATCTCTACACACAGATATTTGAACCTGACTTAAAAATATTCATTTATATATAGGAAATAAAGACCGAGAGGAGGTTCTCTGAGTGTTAACATTGGGTATCTCTGAATTATAGAATTATGTACACTTGTTTTATTTATTCTCTTCTGTAATTTCTAAGCTATTCAAAACAAGTATTGGCTGCTTATAAATTTATAGGCATGTATGAATTTTGCAAACATATGTACAGAGTTTGTTTGGACATGGGGGGAATCAGTAATGCTGAAATTCGTGAAACTAGACAGTTCCCAGGCTTAGAAGTGAAGTCAGAAAAATGTCAGTTGGATTTCTTTTTTCTGAAGAGAAAAGATCAGGAATAATATAGATCTCATCTACATTTTCTACCCTAATTAAGTCAGAGGGAAAAAGCCAGGCTCTCAGTTCTGTGGACTGCCACTTTTATTTCTAGCTTCTGGAATATGTGCTTTTTGGGTGACCTGAATCTTCTGTATGTGTGGCCTGTGAGTTCTCTGGGACACAGGCCAGCCATCCTATCAAGCAATAGGGCCCAGAGGCCTCCTCTGTGCTTCTGTCTTTGCAGAGAGGAAAGGATTTGGAACAGTGGAAAATAGTATTTGGATGGTGTCAAATGAAGTTTAAATTGGAATGGCCTGAAGTCTCTCTGGGAAATTTCCTGGTGAAAGTCATTTTATTTTTGGCTCTTCAGAAATATAACTATATAAAAAAGCTGAGAAAGGATTCCCTATGTGCTTAACTACAACTATAAAATATTTTGTGTACACAAAATACAACAAAAATGTTAAACAATGATGCAGTCAGCCAGATGTGGCCATCACAGAGAAGACATTAATAAACTGGACTTCTGACTTTTCTCCATTTCTGATTTTCCTTCTTAGTGGCAAGAAGGAAAAATCCTCTGCGTTGTGCAATGTGGTGCTGCCCTGAGCTGTTCTGAGAGCCCACGGGCCATGCGTGCTTCCCAAGGAGCAGCAGAGCCTTCACTCTCTTGAACGTAGTCCGCTCTTTACAGCAGCGATTTCAAGAACATTATTGATTTAATGATGTAGAAATCTTTTATTTGAGTCAAAAAGCTAATCTCGTGCAAATAAGCTATGATTACTAGGTTTTAACCCATTCGTGCATGATTATTTATTAATAACTACATTGAACTGGGCTTCTCCTTATGGTACCAGATAAAACATGATGAAAGCACCATGGCAACCATTCATAAGGAGCTCACAGTCTAATGAACATAATGGAATCGGTAGCCAAACTCTGTGCTTCCATTTACAGGTTATATAATGCCACAAAACCAGGGGTTTTCTTTTAATTTACATTACCTGGCTGAGAAAATGGAAGCACAGGGTGGCTAAATAATGTGAGAGAGGTCACTGTAACAGTCAGCTCTGCTGGTAATACCACGTAACTGGGAAAAGACCCAAACTCTGTAAAATAGTTTAAAGAGGTTTATTCTGAGCCAAATATGTGTGGTTATAGCCTGGGGAGCCACACCCAAGAAGTCTTGAGCAAGTGGTCCCAAGGTGGTAAGGTAACAATTTGGTTTTATACATTTTAAGGAGACAGGAGTTGTGAGTAAAATCATAAGTCAATACATGGAAGGTATACATTGGTTTGACTCAAAAGGTGGGGCATCTCAAAGCAGGGAGCTTACAGTTTAAGGGTGGGTTCAAAGATCCTTTGATTTGTAATTGGTTAAAGAAATGAAGGTTTGTCTAAAGGCTTGGAATGTTTTAAGTTAAGGAAGTCTGTTAATCAGAGACGAGTCACAATATTGGACTCCAGTGACCTGTTAAGCTAATTGATGGCTTGCAGGTGATTTAATTTTTGCTCTGCATGGCCTTGAGTCCTGTTAGTAATTTAGTATCTATTGTCACAAAGAGTCTCTTTTGTCAGTCTTATTTATTTCTTTTTAAATTTTTGAGGCAAAGTTTCATTCTGTTGCCTAGGCTGGAGTGCAGTAGCGTCATCATAGCTCACTGCAATCCCAAACTCCTGGGCTCAAGCAATCCTCCTGCCTCAGCCTCCCGAATAGCCCAGAGTACAGATGTATTCCACCACTCCTGGCTATTTTTATCTGTTTTTTATTTTTTGTAGAGACGAGGTCTTGATAAGTTGCCCAGGCTGGTCTGAAACTCCTGGCCTCAGGCAGTTCTCTTGCCTTGGCCTCCCAAAGTGCTAGGATTACAGGTGTGAGCCACTGCATCTGGCCTTGTCAGTCTTATGATCTCTATTTTAACATTAATGCTTGTCAGCTGTGTCTAAACTCCATAAGGCAGGGGGTATAATGAGATGTATTCTCCATAGGAAGTGGCCCAGGGCTGCCCAGAGGTGGCGCCTTTGGACAATAACTGGCTCCAGACAGATTTCTTTTCTGACTCCCCCCAGACAATGATGGGTGTTGTTAGCTATAGCTCAGGGGCCCAGGTTTTACTCATCCACAAGACCCAAGTCTTATTGTCTATGTCACAGGTGTAAAAAGAAAATAAAAATCTCAGGCCCCTTCCCAATTCCCAATGCAAAAGAAAGGCAAAGGCCTTGGGCACCTGGGAAGAACTTGTCCCACAGATCATTCATTAAGGAAATTCCTTGCTAACCTCCCCGGAACAAGGACATGAACATTGTAACTTTAGGCCTCAGGCTCTAGCTCCCAAAACTAAAGTCTGTTTCAAGTTCATCTTCATAGGCAGCAGAACAGAGACAAGACAGGATCAGACATTCCTCCACCTGTCTGGGGACATCTACAGAATTGATGCTTCCTTCACTCCCCTTTTGTCTTCTAATGTTTACCTTATTTTATATAAAATGGAGATTTTCCTGGGTTTCACAAGGATGTAACCATTTTGTCTTGCTACCCCTATACCCTGACTTTTTTTTTTAAGTGCCTTTAAATGCTGAAACTTCCAAATTCCCCTTTGGAAAAACAGCCACAGTTTTGGCTGTGGTTTGTGTTTTTCTCAGACACGCCCTCAACTTTGGCTTGATAAACCTCCATTGATTGATATTTTTGCCTCAGTCACTTACTTTGGTGGACACAGGTGAATGGTTGAATGAGAAAGAGAAGCAAATGGAAGTATTTTTCTTAAAATTCATTCCTTGTGCATCTATAATTGGTGAGTGTTTCAGGGCATCCACAGCATCTCTGCATGCCCAAGTTTCTTTAAGGAAGGCAGTGTGCCAGCATATAAAATGACATATTCCCAGTGATTGGGAATGAAAATGATTTCTGCAGCTTCTCATGAAAAACTGGTTGGTTTTAAACATTGTGTGTCCTTTAATGGGGGTGACCATATATGTTGGTGGACCCTGCTGTGCCTGTACGATTGTTTCCTCTTGCAAAGCTGCTGATTTGGATCATACATTTATGGTGACCCTTCCTTCAAGGGGACAGGCCAGTGTAGACCTGCCCGCTGTGGACCTTGGCTTCGCTTCAGTTGTGGCTGCTGTACTCCAGAGAGCCTCCTCCTTGCCATTCTGGTTGTCATTTCATTCGGCCCCCTTGGCTCTAACTTCTGCAGCTTGGTCTTCTATTGGAATATTTTAAATGTAAATACCTTGTGATCTTAGGAAAAATAATAATAGAGTTTTCTGCATATAGAAAGGCCTATCAGACTCTGAATGCTTTTCTTGATGGGAAGCTCTGCAGGAAATGGCAAAGGTCTGAATCGCCTATTAATACCAAAGTGATCCTAATGGTATCATCCCACAGCATCTGGTCTCCTGTGTGAGTTTCTGATTTCCATTTTTAATCTAGTTGGGGAGGAGAGTTGTTTCTAATGGGCTCTCCTAAAACTCTAGCTTTTTACAATTCAGATAGAATTTTAGTCAAATTTCTATGTAAAATTGATCACTGAATCTCAGGCACATTCTTGACTCTGGTGCCCAATTGCTGAGAACACATCCATCAGTTTTTATGTTGGTGATCCCATTTCCTTCCCTGTCTCTTACAGGCCTCAGTCTCCTGCACCCCAGAGCTTCAGCTCCAGGTCTAAAGACCTCTGCTTTACAGAGAACACACCTTTGCTAAGGAATGCCTCACAGGAGAAAGGGTGAGTTTTTTTTTCTTTCTTATGAAACTAAGAAATTTCTGAGCAGGGTCTTTGGCACTTTGCTGGGGATTTTCTTCCTGAGATAATGAATTTTTGCAAGACATCTGCCAGATCCTTGACCATTCATTGTGGTAGGTGTTCACGATTCTAGTGGTTATATTCTGACTTATGAATTTCCACTTGAGCATAACCCTGTAATGATCATATAGCACCTGGGCTCAGTCATGTGAGCAACGTGGCCCTAGCAGGCTGTCTCACCTGGCTGGGGTTTCTCAGCCAGGGTTGGGGCTGACACTTTCTGAAGACATTTTTGGTTGTCATGCTGGGGTCTAGGGTGCTACTGGCATCTAAGAGTAGAGGCCAGGGATGCTACTAAACATTCTGCAATGCACAGGACAGCCCCCATGGCAAAGAATTATCCAGCCCAAAAGTCAATGACGTGATGAAGGTGAGAAACCCTGTGTGTATGATTCATAAGAAAACTCCATTTCCTGCAAGGTTGAAGGTCCTTTTTGGCATAAATCTGGGTGGTTCTGGAATTGCCTGAGCAGAGGTGACCTGGAGGATAATTTATAGATGCTTCTGCTCAGGATGAAAGGATGTGGTCCAGGCCTTCAGCCTCATCTCTTCTTCTGCAAACTTCCAGAAGCCAGAGCCACCTGCTTGATGTCTCCTGCCTCCCTGAACATCACACACATTGTTATCAAACCCAAAAGGGATCTGGCCTAGGTCTAGCTGCTCACTGCACAAAAAGTCAATTACTGAGACAGCAATATTGCCAGGGAAGAAAGGGTTTTATTGCAAATTAATGTCAGCTGGGAGATGGGAGATAGTTCTCAAATCTGTCTCCCCAGCCAAATGAGGCAAAGACTTTTGTAGTGGGTTGTAGAATGCAGGTTAGGTTGTGTGGGGCTTGAAGTTGTGGGGTCTGCAGTGGTTTGATCCAAGAGTCAGCTTTGGGGATGGATGGTGAGCTGCCAGGAAGCCCCATGGAGAAATTAAGCAAGAAGATTATGATGTTCTTGTTAGGCTTTACTGGTCTCTGAGTCTGAAGTATTGGGGAGAGAACAAAAAATAACTTAAGGAAGGGGCCATCTTACAAGGTCAATTACAACATGGGGACATTGTCACAGAGCCTCCCTTTCCTGGCCACTGACCCCACATACTTGCATTGACAGGTGACTGTTGTGTCTCCTTCACTTGCCTGTGAGCCTCGGAGGTGCCTGCCCTCTTCCCAGTGCTGTCTGCAGCCAGAGCAAGGGGTGGGGCCTCACACTTTAGGGACGCTTGCATGCCAGGCAGACTCCTGGCCTCACCCTCCAACACTCATGGGATTTGGATACCTCTCAGTGCAGTGGCTCCCTCCAGGAGATTCCTGATGATAAGTTGTGTCTCCTTGTGAATGTGCTTACCAAGCTCTTTGACTAGAGAAACTTCCTTCCCTCTCCAGCTCCCCAAGGCACTCCAAAGTCAATTCCTTTGAGAAGCCTTAGTACCTCTCCACCTCCCCCAAGAGTAAATGCTGCTTCCCTTGTGCTCTCAAATACTGCATTCATGCCCTTCCTTCCAAACTTGCCCTTGTGTTATCCATGGTGATGTCTGCTAGCCTGTGCCCTCTCCATCCTATGTCCCTGTGCCCAGCACGCCCCCTGCCCCCAGCTCATCAGAGCCTGGATGGACGAGGGGTGCAAGCTGAGGCATTTGTACTGACCCAGCTGCTTAAAGCTTCTCTAGTGGGGGATGACTTAATTCTCCTCCACATCGCCTAATCAATAACTGTGAAAACAAACACTTGGCACATCTACTTCCTTAATGCTTTCTCTTCAATTACTTGGTAAACTGTTAAGGCCTGAGACATTTTAGAACTTGCAATTCATTGGAAAACCAGTAATGTGTAAGCGTTTGTCCTGGGCATGTGGAGCACAGAGATGTGCCCTGGGAGGCCGAGCTGAGCCTCCTGTCACAAAACCACTTCACAGAAGCTTTGATTACAACACGATTTTTTTTTTTTTTGCATGAAGCTAACTAAGGTATTGATGGTAGGAGGGTCTTCCTGATGCTTTCTTTTTATCAACTTAATTCTGTTGCAATTTTAATTTGATCAAATGGTTTATTGGAGAACATCCATTGATTTATGTAATTTCAGAAGAGAAAGTGTCCTTTCCGGGGTGTTGAGGGCTGGAATGTGTAGTCCAGCGCTCAGAGCATGTCCTGCCTATGCATGGACCAACTGAGAACCATTCTTCACATGTTATTCAAATTTAAATGAATGAAAATTAAAAACTCAGTGCTTTAGCCCCACTAGCCAGATTTCAAGTGGCCAGTAGCATAGGTGGCTACCACACTGGACAGGGGGAGAGGACATGTCCATCGCCACAGAAAGTTCTGTTGCACAGCACTGCTGTACAAAGCACTGACATTAACTTGCTTTTGTCTTTCTACTTATAAGAAAATAGTTTCCTTAGTTCCAATTTTGCTATGTTTGTGGGGTTTTCTAGCATTTATGAGGAAGGTGATGCTCACACACCTGAGCAATTTCAGTCACAAAATTAATAGAAAATATGACTACTTTCAAAGTCATTTCATTACATATTGGTTTTACACAGCCTGTTCTACATCTCTAAACTTCTTATAATATTTTTTTCTTGTGAACCAGCTCTAAAGCAGTGATAAGTGTCCTGGAGAATCCCAATGCCCTGTTGAGCTAGCTGGGGTTTGAGTGGCATCATTTGTTGTTCTTTCTTTCCTTCTTCATTCTTCCTTCCCTATTTTAGAGATGGGGTCTTGCTCTGTTTCCCAGGCTGGAGTACAGTGGCCCAATCATAGCTCACTGTGGCCTCCAACTTCTGGGCTCGAGTGATCTTCCCACCTCAGCCTCTCAAGTCACTGGAATTACAGGTGCACAACACAACCATGCCCAGCTAATTTTTATTTTTATTTTTTTTTATTTTTATTTTTTCCAAGAAAACTTTTTTTTCCGGCATATTATGGGGGTACAGATTTTAAGGTTTCAATAAATGCCCATTTCCCCCCCTCCCCCCAAAAGTCTGAGTCTCCATCATGACCATCCCCCAGATGGTGCACATCTCACTCATTATGTATGTATATACCCGCCCCCCCTCCCACCTGCCCAATACCCTATTACTGTAGTTAGTACCTATGTGTCCACTTAGGTGCTACTCAGTTAATACCAGTTTCCCAGCTAATTTTTAAAAAATTTTTTTGTAGAGACAGGGTCTAGCTATGTTGCCTAAGCTGGTCTCAAACACCTAGACTCAAGTGATCCTCCCACTTTGGCCTGCCAAAGTGCTGGGATTATAAGTGTGAGCTACTGTGCCCCGCTGACATCATTTGTTTCTAACAAGTAACAGATCACAGCTGTTGTTAATGTCAATATTGTGATCCCATGAGTATTCCATGCAATACATAAAAATTCTAGCTTTTGGTACAACCTTGCTAGAATTAAGTGCATCTGTACTGAGGGAATTGCTCAGAAGCCCAATAATTCAACCAAAAGTAAACGGACATGTCCACATGTAATTCTGATAAATATTATTCTCCTTGATTCATCCTTCTAGATATAGGCCCATTCTTGGGCTCGTTTAAGTGAGGTACTGATGTTCCCTATTTATCTCTATGGCCTTGTTACAGAAACATATCTATACAGAGGAGGAAAAGCTTACACCACTTATTCTGCTTCAGGAAAAGTATAACAGATCTAGGCATTGACCACTCTAAGCACACTCAAAGAGAAAGCAAATAGATCTCTGTCCTGTCCTGAGTCCTGTAGGCACGGGAAGAGCTTCTAGGAACTCTGCTCATCAGAGCCGTCAGGTGCTGAGGGCCCTGCAGCCAGTGGGCCCAGCTATGTTCCTGTTGTCCTGCTGTCTGCTGAGCCTGCCACGTGGGAAAAGATGGAACCGCAGGTACACGGGACCCTGGAGGAGCAAGATGCAGAGACCTGGCATGTGAAGGCCAAGGATGCACTGCAGGTGGACGATATAAAAGAAAATACTGAACAAATCAGGAAAGAGACTGATAAATTAACCACCAGTATCAAACCTCAAGGATGATGAAGTGTCTTGTATTACAGGGGAATTAGGAATCTGTCCAAAGTACTCAAAAATCATCAAGCAAAATAGAAGAAAAAAGTGTCCATTTGTTCTTTATGGCTGCAGAGAAAAAACAACGAGCATGGGCAGCCAAAACATTCACAATGTGAGATTCACAAATCAGCATTACAAGCCAAGGACAGAAGACAGGTGGCAAAATGATAATGCAAAACTTTGTGGATGTGCAGAAGAAAAGAAAGGCGAAATCTTCTGTCTCAGGAAACTTGTGAGTGACAGAATACAGGAGGTGCTGTTTCGCCAGAGCTTAGAGAAGTCATGTGGACAACCTCTTTTAAGAAGTGTAAATGACAAAGCTCAGGCAACAGGAATTTTGGGTTGTATTTTCTAAGAACTATGTATTATTTTAGTCAAGCATTTATTTGGAAAGGTGTGAATAAGTTAACTATTTTGTTTGAATAAAAAGAGAAAGCAAATACTTAAATGAGTGGGCACTAGCCAGAAACAGCTTTATTGGAAAGTCCCAAACTCAGAAAGAGCTGATGTGTCTTGAAGGGCCACAATTTATTTTGAAGACTTGGGTGACCCCATATTTCCTTGGAGCCAAGTGATGTTGCCATGTGAGAGAGCGGGACTGCACTGATTCTTTTGGAGGCCAGGATTGGTTTTATGACATTTCACTTGTCGTGAATGAGAGGAAATCTTGTTTTGGAGATGCTACTATTTCAAGAAAGATAACCACAAATCTCTTGCTTTCCAGGTCACCGTGTATACTTGGTTACCACCCAGAGTTCATTGCTGCTGAAGAATCCTGGGAAACCAGCTCAGCTGAGTGGGAGCGGAGATACCTGCTGAGCAGAGAGGTGGCTGGTTCAGGGACATCGGCCTCCTCAGAGAAGGGGGAACTTGTGGACAGCACTCACGTCCGCCTGCATCTTCCAAAGCTGAGGTAGATGGACTTGGAGGGCCGGCTCAGGCCAGGGGCTGTGGCTTGATAGGCTGGCTGGCTGGCCGACTGTGAATGCTCAAGTTGTTTCCTTTTATTCGCCTGGCCCAGGGAAGGGCTTTCAGGAGGTGTAGGATGATGTTACCAAGTGATTAACAGGTATTCTCAAGGTTGTATCTTCATACCCAAGCTCCTTCTCTGAAAGCCTTACCTGGGAGCTGGGGAAGGGGTGAACAATAATGTAGATTTAAACTAATGACATAATAATAAGCCTTAGGTTACTCTAGATCGCTTTCCCAATCCTATTATGCCTAAACTGGGGAATTCTCAGATTGGTAAAGCCTTCCTTCCTTCCCCAGGTGGGGCAGGCACCAAGATGGAGTGCCTGTCCTTATCCTTCTTCCCAGGTGGGGCAACTGCTAGAGGCAGCACCAAAGCAGGGCACTCTTGTCCCTAGAAAAGCTGGAGATTTTAGCTATCTATCTAACACTTCAAGGTTACCTGTCTTTGCCCCAGGCCTAGGAAGACATTTAAGGTAGCCCTGCAAATCATAAATGGCTCACATCCTGTATTCCTCTCCTTCCTGCTTGTGTGGTTGGGGTCTTCATGGCCATTAGGTTTGCAAATAGAGTATGCTGGATTCAGGGGACCCCTCTGATGGATGCTATCTTTGTGATTACTGATGAATTGGGGTCAGTGCCTTGTGCAGCCGGAAGGAGGCAGTATTTTCCTGCTGTGGGAACTGGAAGCCTGAGGCTACGCATGCATGCGGGAGAGCAGAGGCCGCGCATGCGTGAAGGGCCCGGGTGCTTTGCTGAAGTTCAGTGCTTGGCAGGGCAGGAGTGCTCTCTTTTTACCAGATTTATTGGCTGGACTTCCTTCCTTGCATACATTTATTTGGAGGGAGGTGTCTTCTGAGAGCAGTGTGCTCGAAAGCAGCATCTCCAGGAACAGAACAAGAGCTGGAAGCCAGGATCTGCCCTGAAGTAGCTGGGCGATGGTGGCAGTGGCCACGCCTGGTGTGAAGTGCAACCCTCTGTCACCCGATGTTCCCCTTACTCCGTGGCCTTCCGTGGGCATACACTGCATTGAGGTGATACGTGCAGAAGCTGTAGTGTGAAAAACACTATGGAGCTATCAAATATTGGTGTTATCATGTCACTACCTTTAGGGACCAGTCTTTTCTGAAATACTTGACGGGTTGATTGGCAGTGTACCCGTGTTGCGTGTCGCAGTCGTGCCTACCAGCCCCAGAGAGGCCCACCTTCAAAGCCCTGCTGCGTGCTGGGTCCATTGGCCAGGTACCTTGTTGACCCTGACAACAGTCCTGGGAGGTGGATGGAGAGTACCTCAAGGAGGGTAAGGGTTGTGCCAAGTGGCACAGCTTGTGAGCAAAGGGTCAGGGATTTGACCCCAGATGCCCCCACTGCTGCTTGACCATGGAGCTGTCTCCTCCCACTCTGACTTCCGACCATCTGTAGCTTCTTCACAATGACTGGTTTCAGCACCGTCATAGGTGCAACACATATTTGGTTGCCAAATCCACTATGAAATTATGTGAATGGGGACCTGGTGCCATGGGTCATCAGGGTGGTAGACCTTGACACTGTTAATGCTTTTCCCCAGAAGGTGCCGTGTCCTCAACTGTCCCACACTATGGAAAAATAGAATCAAGTACATTTGAGACTTTACATTCAGTGGTTTTATCTTCTATGATTCCTGGAATATCTGCCTTGAGCTTGCCACTGAACTAAAGGACTTTAGTAGTTCCATTCCTTATAACATGTCCAGAAAGTACCATGCATGATCAGTAGTGAATAAACTCGTAAAAGAAGCTTGTATTTTGGATTGTCAGCTCTACTGCAGGTGCCAGTTATGTAGAAAGAAATTTGTATTTAGAATAGCTCAATTAATGCTTCATGCTTTAAAAAGAAATGTCATTTTGATTCCTATTTAGGAAGGAGCTGTTGAATCATAATTTGGAAGCATGAAATAAGTATTTGTCAAATTCATTAAATATAAGAGATTGCAAAACAAGATTTTACCATTTTCAAAAGATTAGAAAGATGTTCAAAGATGGATGGGGCTTTACTAGGTGAGGAGAGTATTAAATAGATGTCCCAGCACCAGAGTTTCTTGCTTCATTCTACAAATATGCATCAAACACAAGCTAGGTACCAGCACCCTTGCCTGTGTGAGGACAGAGCAAAAACACCCCAATGCCTGCCTTCTCAGAGAAGGCAGGGGGAAGATCACCCCCCAGGAGTGGCTGGTGACCATGTCATTAGGAGATGGGATCTGGCTGCTGAGTGAGCAGAAATGGGCATGATGGGAAGGGCTGCAGCCAAGGAGCACCCTCGTGGGCCTGGTGGCCCAGTCTGTAAGCAGCAAGGATGCTAGTGCAACTGGAAGGGCTTTGGGTGGGCCAGGCCCAGGTTCACGTAGGGACTGGGGGCCGTGGTTAAGAAGTGGGCAGTGGTGACTGGGCCAGAATGCCTTCGGCGGTCCTCAGTGGGGGCTGAGTGCATGGTGTGGTTGTCTATTAAGTGATCTCACAAGAAATTCTTGAGAGACTCTGTTAGTACAACCAGTCACACAGCACTGCAATTTTCTTCTTGAATTATTTGTGTTTTTATATTTGATGATCAAATCTGTATTCCAACTTTCCAGAAAACTTAGGGGAAAATAACTGATAAATATGAATTGGAGAGCCAAGATAAGACATTGAATTCACTTTTTTCCCTAGGAAACTGCAGGCTTTAAAAGGCTAGGAAGTCCCCCAAATCTTGACTCTAGCTTACTCAGCAAGAAGCCATGTGTAAATGTTTGTGGTTAACTTTGTTCCTCTCTGGAACCTCCTTCAGGCCTCTTTGGAAGGGGCAGTACGCTCACTGGTCAGCAATGTCCTCTTTCATATCATGTTATGGAAAATTCAAAATGTGTGTTTTGAGATGGAGTTTATACAAGGCTTCAGAGAGGTGTCTGAGGCTGGCAAGCCTGGGCACATACAAACACAACTGCTGGCCCTTGTGACTTAGGACTGACCTTTTCTTTTACAGGCGCTGTGTGCGGTGGCTGAAAGTCACGGGCCTGTTTGTCTTTGTGGTGCTGTGCTCTGTGAGTACCGGGGCCGCCCCCAGCAGTGCTGTTGGGTCATTGTAAGCCCTGGGGGCCTTGGTGGGGAGGCACAGCCCCCGAGTGCCGTGGGCTGGATAGCAGGGTGACTGAGGAGTGGGGCCCACTGTTTGGCTCCCTTTGCCTCATTCTCTGACCTTTCTTTGGAGGAGATGCTGAGGTGCATGGGGTGGCAGGTTGAGGGGGATCGAGGGAGGCCTGGCCTTAGCAGTGCTCCTTGCTGTGCTCCCCGTTGTGCAGTAGAAGGCTGGGCAACCTGGTGTTGCTCTGTGGAAGGCAGCTTAGCTTGCCCTGGGTCTCTCTTTCCCCCTTAAGTGGCTTGCCAAATCCTCTTTTCAGCCACGTACAGTAACACTCTTCTCCGGTGTTGGGAATACCCAGCGATTATGGGTGGCCCGGGGACTGTCTCAGTGGCCTTTGAGATGGTGTCCTGGGCCTCCCTCCAGCTGGGCTGCCCTGTGTGGGAGGGAGTGAAGCTCTGCAGTTTGCCCCACCACAGAGGTGCCTCTGATTTTATTGATTTATTTTATTTTATATTCCTGTCCTTTCAAACACGTTAACTTTCACAACAAGACTCATCTTGGAGCCAAATCAACATCAGGTGCACTCGTGGGGAAGAGGGGGAGGCGGGGCCATCCTGGTGACCCCAGGTGGTGGAGGTGATGTCTGTTCATCACTGAGAGGGCACTGGTAGGTGTGGGACAAATGGTAACCTGTTGGCCAAGGAAGAGCTGTGGGTGGCTGGAACCTGGCAGGGGGACTGGGCAGCCAGGGCTATGGGGGACCTGAGGGATGACAGTCATATGTCTTGCTGCCAGCGTTTGTGTGCTTTGTGGCTTGATGTAGCCTGAACCAGAGTCACATGGCTGGCACCCAAAATACATTTGCCCAATAATTGGGTGTGTGGTGCCCGGTGCCTGGCTGGTGTCTGTGTGTGAAACCTGCAGGTCATTTGTGGTCTGTGACGGTGGGAGTGGGTGCAGGGTGGCATGACACAATGGGGCGTGTCTGTGCTTGGGGAGTTATTTTGGGTGAGTGCCACTTTTTAGCATTGGAGTAAGATGGTGTGTTGTTGGGAGACCACAGTAGGTGGGGGGCGCTGCTGCCATGGCAGGGGGTGGGATGTGAGCAAGGGGGGGTGAGACGTGGTGGCTGGACACTGTGTTCATGACCTTGGCTACTGATTCACCTATTTCCTACTCACATGGCTGTGTGGTTCTGAAGCCCCACTGCTCAGCAGGGCCTGGTGGGTGTACTGGGACTTCAAAGGAGGGTGTCAGGGTGGGCCAGGTGTCCCCTGGTCCCCAAGAACCAACTTGAGCTCTGTGTCTAATCTTCAGCCTACATCTGGGAGATGGAGTTTTGGTGATTTGTGGACACATCCAAAATAGAGTTTGAGGAATTTGATATGAATGTCTATAATCTGTCATTTTATCATCACTTTAATTTACTTGATGGTAGAAGGTGCTTTGCAAATTCCACAAACACGTGCTACAACCATCACGAGGTTGTATTCCTTTACTCTCTAATATGGGAAAACCATGTTTATCCACCTTCAACAATTTAATTCTTAAAACTGGTAGATATCAATAATCAAGGCCCATTGTAGCTGAACACAGTGTAATGAATCAGAATATTTTAGTATCCAAGAAAAAGCTGTTCAGAGTAAGCTGGTGAGTTTTGGATACATAAACCAGCACCACATTTTATCCCTATTTTCAACTGTTAACAAAATTATTTAAATCTATTGCTTTCTTACCAAAAATCTATCATGAAATGTTTCTGCTTTTTACAGATTTTATTCAGCCTGTATCCAGATCAAGGAAAGTTCTGGCAGCTGTTGGCCGTGTCACCACTGGAAAGCTACTGTATCCGAAATATGCAGGAATGAGATTCAGAAAGCAAAGGGGCACTCAGGAACTATTGGGGCTGTCACTGAAGGTCTCATTGTGGGCCCTCCCCATCCCTGCCTGCTCCATTCTGTTTCTCCAGGACAGAGAGGAGGGAGCTCCTGGGAGTCAGTGATGCCCCTGGGAGGGGTGACAGCAGTGGCATGCTCCAGTTACCCATGGGCTTTCCTGTGGCTCTGGGACACGCTGCTCCTCCCACCCCCTTTCCCAGGCAGCTTGGGTGGTTCCTGTAGACTTGCCTTCAAGTTCACTGGCCCTGTCTGGCTGGGTCACCTGGGTCAGAGGAATGCTCTGTCTCTCCAGATGCTGCTTTCTCTTGCCTTTTTGTTTGCCTTGGAAGTTTTTGTTAAAAGCCAGACACATCCTATAGGACGGTAGATGTTGAGGTCAGTGGTTTTTAAACTTGAAGTCTGCAGGCATTGGTTGGGTTGTTCATGTAAATCTAGCGAGAAATTGGCTGTGTTGAGGTCTGTAGTTGCCAAGACAACCTCGGGTGCACCAGCCACGTGGAATTGCTGTGTCTGCGGGACCTGGCTTGGTGCCCACCCCTGCTGGGGTGAGAGCTGCTCTTGCCTCTTGCGTTCCCTCAGCTGCGGGTCTCCAGCTACGCCCTCTGGCGACCAGATTTGATGCCCTTCCCACGCAAATTGAGTTCTTTGCTCGTTAGGGGAGATAGATGGAGGTGGTGGGAGTGGGTGTGGGGTGGCAGTGACTCTTCCCCAGGTGGCACCATTGGGGACCCTTTCCCCACCTTCCTGTCTTCCCTGGGAGCACCTGCTGGGAGTCCTGGAGGAAAGGCCTGCAGGAAGGTGGGAACACCCCTGCCTGTGACTCCCAGGGGCTTCCCACTCTTTTGCAAGCCCGCACTTGAGCTTGAGCAAGTTTTAAGTTTTAAAGTTTAAAGTTTTAAAGTTAACAATTTTTAAGCTTTCTGGTTGAAAATTACCCGCTTCTAGAGCATGGCGGTGGCACCTGTTCAAGGGAAGCTGTTTCTGTCTTCAGTCGCCTGTCTCACTCTGGGTTTCAGGTGAGCTGTTTGCCCTGCATCCTCATTCTGGAAAGGAATAAGTCACTGGCATGTGTATTCAGCCCTTTCTGGTTGCAAGGGTGGGAGTGAGTGGGGCCCTCCCAGCTCTCCACGTATCTTAGCTGAGGCGGGGAGTCCACAGCCTCTGTCAGGATTAAGACGTCTGAGCATGGAAGCCCCTGAAGCGCCCAGCAATGCCCAGGGTGGCAGGTGGCAGTGGAGGGTCCTGGGAGAGGAAAGTGGTGGGGAGGCAACCCTGCTCAGGCCAGATATTTCTGATGACTTTCTTTTGAAAAGGAATTAATTCACTTAGCTAAATGGCAAGATGTTTTTTTTTTTAGTATCTTCAGTTGGTAATCTTGGTGAGCTGACATTTTAGGAAATTGGGTCATTTTCTTTGCAGCCACCTGTAATCTGTTATGTAGTCTTATTTTCCTGAGCCCTTCTGGGAGCCCCCCTTCCCCGGGACACCCTCGCCATGCAGGCACCTTCTGGAAAGGCCTGCTGCACCAGGGCCTTGCGTGTGCCTGGGAGGCGCCCTGGCCAGGTCCTCATGCCTCGCTCTGCCCCAGTGGCCAGAGGTGCTGGTCACACCACCCTCAGGACAGGGCGGCTCCGTTGTGAGCTATGTGCTCACACACGTCTTTGTATTTTCTTCACTCTTTTAACACTGTGTCTGAGCTTGAGTCAAAGAAGTATGCCCTTGTGAGAGAACTAAGAGCTGTGTGATTTTGACAAACTTTGCTTCTCATTTTGTGACTTTGCCTCTGTCACCTCCATGGGTAGAAGAAAGCTCAGACATCTGCCAGCTCCTCTGGCTCCCCTGGGGCCTTCTCAAAGCTTCATCTCAGTCCCCAGGCAGGGAGGTGCTGTCCTCCCCTTGTGCAGGTAATTGTGACCTGCTGCCCAGGATGACCCACAAGCCTGAAGGGAAGGGCTGGACCCTGCCAGAAGAGTCCTCAGTGGAACTCAGACAGGGAGGGGGAATAGTGGGCTGGTGACTGGGACGTTCAGTGCTCTGCCTGCCTGGGTAGACACCAGCACCCTTACCGGTCCGGAGAAATCCCAGGTGAGCGTAGCAGGTTAGGACACTGAGGTTACGTCATTAGCAGATAAAAGCCCTCTGTTTCTCCCACTGAGGACCCAGGTGTGCTTTTATTCTCAAGCATTTTGCAAATCTTTCCTGACAGCAGGGATGGCAGGGGAGCTTGCTCTCCTGCTCTGAGCGGCCAGCGAGTTTGGGTGGCGAGAGCGCAAGCCCAGGAGAGATGGAGGAGCCAGGGAAGGAGTCAGGGATGCACGGAGTGGTCCCTCTAGTTCTGTGGATCAGCGGCCTCTGTGAGGGCTGACTTGAGTTTCCCCCAAGCTTCTTGGAAAAATGCAGTGTTGCCAGGGATTTCCCATGGCTTTCTGGAAGCTCACAGGCCCTCTTCCAAGATCCTGAGCTAAGAATCTGCCGTGAGGTTTGTGAAAGCTGCAGGCCTGGGGCCTGCCTGGGAGGAGGTGGGAGGCAGCTCAGGCTGCAGTGGACCCTCCCAGGTGTCCAGAGACAAAAGTGCTGCTGGAATCTAACGGGGCCCCCGGCCTCTGAAGGGGGTTCTCAGGGAAACGGTGTAAAGCGCAGGCCTGAGGCAGGAGGGATTCAGGGCTGGTTTCCAAAGGTCAACAGCAGCATCCCTGAGCAAAGACCTCTGCACCCTTTCTCCTGGCCTCTGGCTGGGGCCTGGAGGAGGGACACCAGGGCTGTCTGTTGTGATGGGAAGGGCTCTTGGAGAAAGCACTGCTCTCCTTTAGCTGGGGAGTAGCAGAGCTGCCTTTCTCCTGTGAACTTCCGCGTCTTCCTGCAGCAGGCAGGCTGTGTCAGCTGAGTAATTGAGGGGTTTATTTTAGAAACCTGTAATTGCAGACACCTAACGTTCTTTGTCCCTGAATTGTTGTCTGTGCTTGTATGATCGAGGCCTGTCAAAAGCTCCTAGGTCACCAGGGAGATGAACAGAGGCCAGCAAACCTTACATGCAGGTAATTAGGCACACCCCCTTCCTCTCTCCTTTCTCATCTTCTCCCTCAGTCTCTTCCTTCATTTTCTACTTTAATGTCTCCTCCTCATTTCCCTCTTTCTCTTTCCCTCCCTCCCTCCCTCCCTCCCTCTCTCCCTCCCTCCCTCTCTTTGTGGTCCATTTTGCATCCCACTGAGCACCATAGCCTGGGCTCTCAGAGAATACAGAGATAACACTATGCAAAATGTTGAGAAGGGAACAAAATCTTTCCCCCAACCTTCCTGGGTTCTCCAACTGGGGCACTGTAAATTAGACTCACAAAACCAGATTAATAAGAGAAAAACATATATGTTTATTTAACATGCATTTTATCTGACATGGGAGATGTCATAAGAAAATGAAGACCCAAAGAAGTAGTTGAGCCTGAGTGTTTTTATACTAGGTTTGATGGCGCATGGTGGAAAAACATAACAGGCCCAAGGGCCTGAGCTCAGGACAGTCAATGGGGATGCAGCTGGCCTGGGTGATCAGACCCCCTTGGCCTCCTTGGCCACCTGCAGAGATAAGAATGTGACTTTTCTCGGTGGATGGCCTAGATTTGGGTAATGGGAAAGGCAGGAAAACTGTGGTTGATGCAGCCGGGGAAAGGAGGTGATGTCTCTGTCCTCCACACCTTTGTCACCTGCTCTGGACTCTGGTCTAGGTTTGGAGGACTTCAAGAATGATGCCGGAAACAAATATCTGTGAGTTAAACATATTTCTTAGAGACATCTAATGTGGTAAGTGTTAGGTCCGGAGCCAAGAGAGAGACACATGAAGCCTTATGTGTAGCAAAATGCTATTTGTTTTGAGTAGGGGTCCTCAAACTATAGCCCGAGGGCCACATGCGGCCCACCAAGGACATTTATCTGGCCCGAGGGGTGTTTTTGCCGCTGCTGCCTGTCCTGCTTAGCAGCAGTGATTCCATGAATATTCATCAAACAGTGTTAGCCAGGGGTCCTCAAACTACATCCTGTGGGCCACATGCAGCCCACCCAGGATATTGATCCGGCCTGGTGTTTTTGCCGCTGCTGCCTGTCCTGCTTAGCAACCTACTGGTCCCGGGCCCACAGTGCGCATGTGTGGAATGTGCGCCGCACTCTCCAGCGGCCCTCCAACGGTCTGAGGGACAGTGAACTGGCGCCCTGTTTAAAAAGTTTGAGGGCGCCTGGCTTTGAGCATCTGGGTGCAGATGGTTGGAGGCCGAAAAGAGCGACCACCCCAGGAAGGGGAGAGTGGTGGGTTTTATAGAGGGTTTTTCTGGGGGTAGTGAGTAGGTGGGCCAGAACAGCTGCTTGTAATAAATTCTTTTTCAAACAACCAGCTCCTAGGACCCCCTGCCCTAGTCACACCCATCCTTCAGCTCTGGAATCCTTCTCATCAGGAGAGTGGGAGGGACAAAACTTCCTCCCTGTTGGGGGCGGGGAAGGGAATGCAAGCTCACTCTTTGCATTCCATCCCTTTATCTCCCTAGGGGCCTGGCAAAGGCCAGTTGCCTAATAGCGAGAACTCCATTAGTCTCCAGAGAGGAGACTAATACAAAAATGAATAAGATGTAGTTCCTTCACTTGAGGAGCTAGACTAGCTGGGGAGAAAAATCTGAAATAAACTGCAGTGTGGTGTGGATGAACCCTTGAGTAACAGAGAATGCACAGGCCACAGCAGAACTGGGGAAGGAGCAAGAGGGTCCCCTTGGATCCAGATGTGGGGTACAAAGAAAGGCTTAAGAGAGCAGAACACCAGTGAGATCTCCAAAGAGATGTAGGGGGGCTTGTCCAGGTATGGGGAGCACTGGAGGCCAAGGTACCAGTCCAGAGGGAGGGCGGGCAGGGCAGTGTGCTGGGAGGCAAGGAGCAAAGCTGGCTGCACGGCTGGTGTGACTCTGAGGCTCCTGTTTGCTGGGGTCAGGAAGTCACTGCTGACAACAGAACATTGGGGTGTACTTTGAACCCTAAGCATGTGGTGGGCATCTGGAAGGGTGAGAGGAAAGGTAGGGTGGCAGTGTGTGCAGTCCCTTGGACTTGGTGTGCACTCCATTTGGATGGTTAACTGCAGGGTGTTTTGTTACCTGGTCACCTCCCCGCTGTCCTTCCAATGGGTGCCTCCAGGTGGCGCTGTCCTACCTCCTGGTGTCAGCAAGGTGTCTTCAATGATTTCTGTGCTAAAATACTGCTCCCCACTGTGTCCTGAGTCTGTCCTAGGTAGGAACCAGCACAGGAATAATTTCAGGTGAAGCAGCAGCAACAGTGTCTCCTTGGGCTTTTTTCTTCGTATAATCTGCCTCACGTGTGACTTCCGTTTTCCATTTGTCCTTTTGGAGACCCGTGCAGGGGGCGACTGCCTGCTCTGGGCTCTCCTAGAGACAATGGGCTGATTAAACACTTTCCTTACCAGGATGTTCTTGTACTTTTTGCCAGAGGAAAATATGAAACAATGAAAAAGGAGCACCCATTCATTAACCCCCGCAGGTATTCTGGCAACTGGTGAAGTTCTGCCTCCCCCAAGTCTGTGCCATAAGCCATTTGCTTCTTTTAGGGATTTAAGGAAGAATAAAGGAATTAGTTACAGAATCATCCTATAACCAAGGAGCTGCTGCCAAACGACTTTTGAGACCTGATATCAAGCATAAACAATTGTGAAATTTGCTATTCCACTCACAACAGTTTTCTCTTCTGGATGAAAGTGACCGGGCTAGCCACGTCACTGTTAGACACCTGTGGCCCCCAAGGTCTTGCATTCGAGGTGGGAGGCTCTGAAGGACTGGCCCAGAGAGAGTGGGTAAGTCAGAAGCACAGCCCACAAAGGTGGGATGTGGGAGCTAAGAGGAAGGGCTGCTGCAGGGTAAGTATCTCATGAGAGGGGGGGCATTTTGAGGAGGGAGGAGCCTTTCTTCCTGATAGCTCTTCTCTGATCAAGAGCCCTTTAACATGAATTGTAGGAATTTTTGTTCCCTGACTGCGATGGATGTTGCTGATTTAGCTAATTTCAGAATTCTTATTGTCAATTCTTTTTGTGATTTCTCACTTTACAAATAGGGACTCGATATCTTAGGTTCATTCCTGCCTACTGCTCACCATGGGCCCAGGAACTTGGGAATGCGTTTTACGAGGGCTGCAAAAAGAGGAAGCAGAGATGGTGGTTGGTAGGACTGGGAGACGCCACTTAGATCTTAAGCCAGAGGATGCCAAACATGATTAAACAATGCAAACCCAACGGGGTGAGGGGCTGGAGAGATAAGAATGACCAAGGGCATCGGGCAGTCGGAGGAAATGCCCAGATGTGTGTTTCTTAGTGCACTGTCTGAGGAGGGTGTGCATCTGGAGGGCGGTGGGGACATCAGGCGTCTCCTTGCTTTGTGGTTCACCTTGACGCACCCCCAGCTGTGAACCTCAGCAGCCACGCAGACTCCACGCTGCTGCAGGTGGACCTGGCGGGGGCCCTGGTGGCCAGCAGGCCGAGTCGTCCCGGGAGAGAAGAGCACGTGGTGGTGGAGGTGACCCAGGCAGATGCTCCGGGCTCTAGGCGGCGGCGGCCACAGCAGGTTACACTTATAATTTATTTGAAAGGAATTGTAAAATCTCATTTCATCTCATTATAAATTGAGTTTCCTCTTGAATAGGTTTGATGGGGAGCCATAAGGCAAGGACACCATTATTAGTCAAGCCATTGGCTCTTATCTTTAGCTCTGTCTTTGAAACTCTCTTTTTCCCTTTTCTCTAAGTCATTTATAAAACTCTTGCCATTTCAGGAAAATCAGGCTTGCGAGTTCTTTATTCAGAACCATTTTACTAGGCCATTCAGGGAAATATTGTATATTTGAAAGCAGGTTTTTCCTTTTGTTGTTAAAGTATAATTAACTCTAGGCCTTACCTCATGGGACAGAAGACACTCCAACACTACTGTCACCTTGTCCTGGTGGACGCTGGCTGAGACTGCACACAGATTCCCCCAGCTTCTGCACCTGTGTTGATAGGCCCTGCGCTCAGCCGTGTCTCAGAGCCAAAGCCTCCAGCTCACGTCCTGCAAAGGCAGCCTGCACACTGCAAGGAGGGCCCTCGGGGGTGGCTGTCAAGATGGCCTAGAGCCTGGACACCAAAAGCACAGCTCCTCTTCACACAGCCTGCCCCACCCCCGAGTACTGGCCTTGGTGACTCTACTGGATTGTCACAGTGACTTCCGCGTGGAAGTCATATCCCTAGTTCATGGACTTTTTCTCTGTTATAACCATAGAAGAAAACTCTGCTTGTGCATAAGGCTCTGCCATGTAAAATAGAGCATCCGATGAATTAACGCATCGCTCACGTTTTCCTGCCTTGTAGAGCGTGGCCCACAGAACAAAGGCCTCATTCTCAATGAGAATGCAGTTTCCTGGGCAGTGGCAGATGCAACACCAGTGTTCTAATCCAGTTGCCCTGGCCATGGTCTTAGGACGTAAATTTGGTTCCCTGTGTGCAAGGGGCTCCTCGGTGATGAGCAAGGCGAGGACACCTCTCTCTGTCCTGTGTCCCAGGGCCTTGCGTGGGGCGGGCGGGACCTCGCCCAGCTGCTGTCTAGCTGCTTTCTCAGCATGTGCATATTTACAGCCCAGACTAAATCAACTATATTGAGCTTCCCTGCTTTCTGAGGAAGGCCCTTTGTGACATGTTGATACACCTGAACTGCCCACATGCAAGTCTAGCTCTTGAAATGCAAAGAACATGAGATTCTTTACAAAAGGATTTTTTGCAGACGTGCTCTTTCCAAACACCAAAGCGTTTTAAGGGAACTGCCGTTCTCTCCATTCATGTATTTCTCTGCTTTGACCAATTTCAGAGTTCCTGTTTTCCGTGTCCTTTGTGATTTGTGAGTGAGGCTGGGGTCCTCCCATGGAAAGTTCCCTCTCCCCGACAGGCTGCCATGGGCTCTGTCAGCCCCTCCGTCTGCTGTGGCCAGCCCCTCTGAGGAGGTGGTTCGCCACCTGTTTGGGACAAGGACAGGAAAGTGCAGGGCAGCTTTGCCTGCAGCAAATGAAGCTTTATCTTGGGGCCCTGCCTCGCAGGGGCTCCTGTGAACCCAGGAGTAAAAGGGTTTTCTGCGAGGGGGTCTGTCGCCTCTAGCTTGTGAGCAGGAAGCATTCTCAGGACTCAGGGGGCTCAGAGGACTTCTCCAAGTCTCTTGTAATAAATCAGTATTTACTTCTATACCTTTCATACTTTTTTATACTGATTCTGTATTTTTTTCTCTTGAATGCTTTCTCTTGAACATAGCCCTCTGAATTGTGGAAATTTCGTGCTCCAGACAACCTGGACTAAGGCAAATAAAAACACACTGCTGCTCCTCTGTTTCTTCTTTTCTTATTCTAAACGAATACCTAAACTGAACAGTGCCAGAGCTCAGATGATGTCTCAGGTAAAAAGCCTTACCACGATTTTATGCTTCGGCTTTTGCAGGTTGCTTACAATTGGACAATATTTTTAAATCCAAGAAGAAATGAACGCTCGGTGGTGAGCAGGACCTTTGAGGTACTGAGCAGGTAGGTTCTCAGGTGAATGAGGTCTTGGGGGAGAATCTCTGGGACATACGCCCCTAAAGACGTCTGACCTACAGGACACCAAGTTTCGGCACAGATCGCTGCAGACCAGTTATGTGGCTTGGTCAAGGCACCTGTGCTGCCTCGACTGAGCTCAGAGGCTGTGTGGGAGGGTGTCGGAGCCATGCTGTCAGGACAGAAGAGGGTGGATGGCAGGATCCACTCTGAAGCAAGTGGTGTTTTTCAGTCTGTGGTCTAATTTCATTGATATGAAACTGTACTATGGGGAATTCTAGGAAATTTAAGGATTCTTTTTTTTTTAATGCCACTTCATATTCAGTCTATACTCTTGGTTACTGCATTAGTCTGCTCTGGCAGGACTGACTGGTGGCTAAAACTTCAGATATTTATTTTCTCACAATTCTAGAGGCTGGTGGCCAAAGACTGAAAGGTGGACGGGGTTCGTCCTCCTGGGGCCTCTCTCCTTGGCTTACAGATGGTCTTCCCCCTGTGTACGGCTGGGTCCTGATCTCTTCTTAGGAGGACACCAGTCCTGTTGGAGTAGGAGTCACCCTAATGACCTCATTTAACCTTCATTGCCTCTTTGAAGACTTTCCTCTAAATACAGTCACATTCTGAGGTACTGGGGATTAGGGCTTGAACAGATAGATTTTTTTTTTTTTTGGTGAGGGGAACACAACCCATAAAAGTCGCTGACTGAACTTAAAAAAAAGCTTCACTAATTTGCAGTCTCACCAGCAGTGTAAGAGCGTTCCTGTCTCTTTCACATCCTCGCCAGCATTTGTTGTTTTGGAATTTTGTGATAGAGGCCAATCTCACTGGGGTTAGGCAATATCTCATTGTGGTTTTGATTTGCATTTCTCTAATGATTTGAGATGTTGAACATTTTTTCATATGTTTGCTGGCCATTATTCTGTCTTCTTTTGAAAAGTTTTTGTTCATTTCCTTTGCTCATTTATTGATGGGGTTGTTTGATTGTTTTCTTGTTGATTTTTTTTAAGTTCTAGATAGATTCTTGTTATCAGCCTTTTGTGGGATGTGTAGAGAGCAAATATTTTCTCCCATTCTGTAGGCTGTCTATTTACTCTAATTAGTGCAATCTCTGTGGAAAAGATTTTGGAGATACCTCAAAGAGCTAAAAATAGAAATACTATTCAATCCAGCAGTAGCACTATTAGACATCTACCCAAAAGAGCAAAAGACATAATAAAGACATCCGCACCTGAATGTTTATGGCAGCACAATTCACTATTGCAAGGATGTGGAAACAACCCAAGTGCCCATCAATCTATGAGTAGATTATTAAAATTTGGTATATGTATACAATGGAATATTACTCAATGATAAGAAATGGTGATCTAGCACCTCTCATATTTTCCTGGATAGAGCTTGAGCCCATTCTCTGAAGCAAGGTATCACAAGAACGGAAGAATAGGTTCCACTTGTACTCGCCATCAAATTGGCATTAACTGATCAATGCTATGGTGCTCAATTATTAATATTATGGTAGTAAAATTCTTCAGGGATTAGAGGGTTGGCGGGGGTAATCTCACGACTAATGGATGCGGTGAGTGTTGTAGAGGGGAAAGGCATGCCTCTAATCCTTACTTGGGTGAGGCAAAGTCATAAAATGTAACCAAAATGTTTGTGCCCTCATAATATCCTGAGAGAAAAAAAAAAAAAAAAAAGGAAAAAAAATGCTTCAGTTTCAGCATGCCACAAACCCTGGGTTATTTGCGCGCTTCTTGTGTGTGGTGCCTTTCCTCACTGTCAGGGGCTGCAGTTTCGGGAGTTAGCTTTGCTGTTTGGTAGCAGGCAGAGCAGGTGTGTGGGTGAGGGGGAAGGGAGGCCATTAAATGGCTCAGGTCAACCGTGCAGGCCCCTGCTCCTCCTCAGCTGCTGGAGTGACGCCTGCAGGGAGGGGCCTGCATGGACTGGCCAGGCCTGGCCACCGGGAGGCTGTGTCCTGCGTCCCTCGCTGACCAGTAGTCCGAGCACTTCTGTCTGTGAGATCAGGCATCGGGCTCTGGTACGGCCACGGCTGACTTGCAGCGACAGACCCTGGTTGCTGATGGAGGATTCGTTTCCCTTGTCAACTGTGAGTTCTTTGCTTCCTCCCGCAGAGAGGCTGTGTCCATCAGCATCCGGGCCTCCCTCCAGCAGACCCAGGCTGTTCCTCTTCTGATGGCTCATCAGTACCTGCCCGCAAGTGTAGAAGCACAAGTGACCATCGCTGCAGCCATCCTGGCGGGCGTCTATGTACTGATTATATTTGAGGTGACTTTCATGCCTGCTCCCCTTGATCTGTCTGTGTCCTCAGTCAGGATATTTTAGACTCTTTGGATGGGTCCAGTCCTGACTACTTAAATAAATTGGATTACTGTCATCATTCCTAAAAATTAGCATGTCTGTCACTCCAGGTAGAAAATGGTATAGGAATATTTACTGAATTGGACAACTGACATGAACACGATGAATTTTGGAGGAGAGTGAAAGTGTACCTGAGGAAACAATATGTACATGGTTTTCTACCTTCTCTCTACTGTTCACTCTAGGCATGACCTTAAGGGGTGACCTTGAAAGGACACCTTTTGAACCCTCTGAGACTCAGAGTCTTCATCTGTGTGATTGGTGCATTAACGTGCCCCCTGCCTGCTTTGCAGGACCCTGTGTGTGCAGGGGATGTGGAAGCCCTCGGGCTGTGTGTGGAGGAAGAATTATCACCTATTATGTTTATCAACTTGGCTAATGGGCATTTCCGCAAATGATCTTAAGTCCCATCAATTTAATGTTTCTGGGAAATTATAAGCGTGGCTATACCTTCAATATCATGAAGCAATGTGAAAACACTTCCTGGGCTGGGCAGGTCCATTGTTGATTTACCTGTGAAATCAAATTCCACTGCAACATGTTGCTAGGAATGTTGGCTCAGTAAGTCAAGCTTGGAGGGTGAGTGGATGGTGTGGCTCTGAAGAGGTGATTCTTAGTGAGTTTAGGGAAGGTAGATAGCCAGCAGGAGGAGTGGCCAGGAAAGTTCCAGAACTTTGCTTGTGGTTGTCTAGTCTGCTGGGGGAGGAATGTTGGCTCCAGTAAGTCAAAGCCCTGAAGTGTCTAACGAGGTCTACTCATGGGTTTAGTTGTTATATCTCTTATGTTTCTTATTCTAGAACAGCTTTGTTCCCTCCATCTCGTATCTATTTTCTTTTTAGTCAATATTGTTGTTGTTTCGGGGTTCCTATGACCACTCTGTGATTTGCTATGAGGACGCACAGACTTGGAGGCAGCTGTGCCCTGTGCTGTGGTTTATTACTGTGAACAGCAGTGGAAATCTGCTGAATCTAGAAAAATCCAGGAACAAGCGTCTGAGATGGGCCACATAGAATACACCCCTCCTTCCAGCAGCAAAGACAGCAACATGTGCACACGGTTTCTGCCCAGGAAAGCCTGCTTGGGACTCAAGAGTTTTTGTTGGGGCTGGTCAGATAGGCACTCTCAGCCCACCACAATCCCAGACTCCTGGAAGGAAAGAAGGTGTTCATCATAAATCACATTTTCATACAGTCCAGGCATCTGGTACAGCAGAGTGCACTGCCCCAGGCCCACGGAACAACCTTATCAGTCGGCAACATAAGGAATATTCCAAAAGCCGAGTGCCCAGAGCCAGCCAAGGCCAATTTCAGAGCAGGCCTTCTAAAGGTGTCATCCTCGGGTCAGGTTAAGTCTTTTGTGCACCACCATCTAGTTGAAAAATCTTTTTCCTTTGTTCTGTAGAATATTCTACACCCAGATTGGGTTGAGGGGATCCTTAGGACATTAGTTTATTATTCTGTCTTCTATTTAGTACAGGCTACAATTTAGAGCTGAAGCCTTCAGGTTCAGTTTTGGGCCCTTGTACTTCATAGGTGTCAAGGAGTCTGAATTAGAGTGAAGAGGAGCATGTGTCCAGATGTCCGACTTTCAGGGATGCTGAGACGCTCAGGGAGTTTAGGTGGGGACTGCCTGGCTTCTCTGTCACCTATTCTCCTGATGGTTTTAATATCCACCAGGAACCATTGCCTGATTCCATTATTTCATTAGCATTTACAATAAACTTTCTCTCATTCCATCTGCATTCATAAATTAGTCATTCTATATTGAAGAACTTTCTTCCACCCAGTTTTGTTAATGTGAAACAGTTCATGCCAGAAACACAAGATAAGTTATTTTTCTTTTAATTATCAATTTTCATGGTAATGAGTTGTTGCCTTAGCAACTTTCAGTGGTGACCCTGAGTTGAGTTAGTTTCTCTTGTCTTGTTTTCTAAGTATTATATTGAACTTACAGATTTAATAAATTCAATGTGCTTTAATTAGTTAGTCATTACTAATTTAAAAAGATACAGCCCAATGCCAATTTATTTTTTAAAAGGCTTCTCTTTTATTCTAAGGTTTTTTCACCTTTTTTTGTATAATTTTACGGCCTTTGAAAATTACATAATTTGTAAAGATTTATCAATCATTAATTAATGGTCATTACTAATAGCTATTCCCATAAAACCTTTCCCTCCCTCCCAACAACCATGTTGAGATTTTTAAAAGTCTTGTGAAAAGGCTAATTCAACATGGATTCTACTCTTGCAGAAACAAAAAGCAGAGAGGCAGGAATTATGCAGATGTGATTGCATAATTCCTTGGAGGGAAGATCTTGCTGCATGAAGTGTGGCAGCCAGACATCTCCCAGAGCGTCTTCCCCACGAAATCCATCCATTTCCTGGAACTCTGCTGGCAGGTTTTCCTGCACTACTCTCTCTATGTATCCAAGGCCCCTCTGTCATAGCTACTGCATGTACCTGCCTATGCCGGGGGTCATTCTGTTGGTGTGTAGTAATAACTCATTGTGGTTTCAATGAGCTACATTTCTCTAATGATGATGATGTTGGACATCTTTCCATGTATTTATTTGCTATCTGTTTATCCTCTTCAGTGACATGTCTGTATATGCTGTTGGCTTATTTTCTAATTTAATTGTTTTTTTTTAATGTTGAGTTTTGAATGTTCTTTACATATTTTAGATATAAAAGCTTATGTTGGATCTGTGGTTTGCAAATATTATATTTTCCCTCAGTCTAGTTTATAAATTTTTCCTTGTATAACTCATGCTTTTTGTGTCAAGTCTAAGAACTTACAGTTTAGTCCTAGATCCCAAAGATTTTTTTTCACCTGAAATATTTTAGTTTACTTTTTACACTTAGGTCCAGGATCCATTTTGAGTTAGTTTTTGTATTTGTGTGAGATTTAGGTAGAGGTTCATTTTTAAACCTATGGATATCCAATTGCTCCAGCACTGTTTATTGCAAAGGCTATCCCTCCTAGATTGAATTGCTTTTGCTTCTTTGTTAAAAATTAATTGGGCATATTTGTGGGATATATTCCTGGGTTTGCTATTCTGTTCCATTGATTATGTGTTTTCTTCCTCCACCAGCAGCATGCTATCTTGGTTACTGCAGGTATATTATAAGCCTTGACGCTGTGAAGAATGATTTTTCCCACTTATTTTTCCCCCCAAAATCGTTTAGGTTATTCTGTGGCTTTTCTCTTTCCATATACATTTTAGAATGACCTTCTAATCTGTGAACATGATATGTTGCTCCATTTATTTTGATCTTCTTTGATTTCTCTTATAATTTTCATCACATTGATCCTGTACATCTTTTGTTAAATTTCTAAGTAAGTATTTCCTTTTCTTTAGAGCAATTATGAATGGTATTGAGTTTTTATTTTGGTTTCCATTTGTCCATTGTCAGTAATTATAAATGCAATTTTTTTTGTATGTCAATCTTGTATCCTGTTATTTTATTGAACTTACTTATTAGTTCTTGGAGTTTTCTTTTTCATAGAACCCTTGAGATTTTCTATGTAGACAATCAGGTCCTTTGCAATGAGGACAGTTTTATTTCTTCCTTTCCAATCTGTATTCCTTTAATTTATTTTTCTTGCCTTATTGCATGGCTAGGATGAGAATGGTGAGAATGAATATCCTTGCCTTTTTCCCAATCTTAAAAGGAAAACATCTAGTCTTTCATTGTTAAGTATAATATTTCCTTTAAGTTTTTCATAGATGCTTTTTATGAGATTGAGAATATTCCTTTCTTATTATAGTGTACTGAGAGTTTTTTTATTTTTAACCATAATTAGGCATTGAATTTTGTCAATGCCTTTTCTCTGTCAATTGACATGATCATATGATTTTTTTCATTAGCTATTTGATATGTTGTGTTGCACTGATTTATTTTAGACTATTGGGTCAGACTTATATACCTGGAACAAATCCCTCTTTTCTAATGTCAGAAAATCCCTTTTTCTGACAGCACTGCTTTAGCTGCATCCTGCAGATTTTGATCTGTTATGTTTTCAATTTCATTTAGTTCTTTCTATTTTTTTATTTCCCTTGAGAGTTCCTCTTTGATCCATAGATTATTTAGACATGTGCTGCTTAATTTTTAAATGTTAGAGATTTGCCTGTTGTTTTTCTGTTACTGAATTGTAGTTTGATTCACTTATGATCAGAGAGCTTACTCTATATTAAATTCTTTAAACTTGTTGATGTTTTTTATGGTCCAGGTTTATAGTCTATCTTGCTGAATATTCTGTAGGCTTAAAGTAATGTGATTTTTCACTGTTTTATAATACTGGTGTAATTTGCAAATAGAAATTCTATATAATTAGGTCAAGCAACAACTTGAAACCCCAACACCATCCTTTTGTTTTGTCTGTGATTTGATATAGAAGGTGGAGGTTTTCAGAGGTGTTTGGAGAATAGCATGTTCTACCTTGTGTTTCTGTAGCTTCTGTGCTTCCAGAACTTCCTAGGCCTCCCACCCTTTGGAGGGTCCACATTATGAGGGGAGGGCTAGATGCAATCACTAGTCCTATGGGCTCTCCAGATGTGGAGTGAGCATTGCAATGTTTCTAGAATCTACTCTAGGAGTAGAATTTACCTTGGCTGAGGATTCAGACATTATCTTGTTTTGAGGCAGAGCTGTTTCTTCGGAACTGGAGATCTCGACTCTTGCTGTGCCGCTGCCGTATGCACCCCACTCCACTCAGTGCAGTGCATCTTGGGGCAGCCTGCAGACAGACCCACCCACACGTGCCTTCAGCCACCTATCTGCTGCTGCCAGCTGTTCCTGCTTCAGGTGGTGGCTTCCTCACCTGCTGTGTTATAGGTGCTCTGTCTCACTTATTATGTATGTCGTCTTCTGCTTTTCTTTAGGGTTGATTCCAGTGCCTTGGACAGTG